AAAAAAAAAAAAAGTCTCATGAACTTTCCTGCTCTGGCTTGGCTTCAAACCAAGATCCTCAGCTCTCACTCTCAGCCTCCTTGAGTAACTAGGATTGGGATTACAGCTGAGAACCACTGGTGCTTTGGCTCCAACATCATTCCAATACATGTTTGAAGGTTTTGCACAATGGCTAGTAAGCAACAAGAGATGCAGAAGGAGTTTCTGCAGGACAAGTAAACTGAAAATGCAATAGCCCTGCTTCTGCCATACAAAGAAAAGGCCGCAGGTTTGCAAAGGGATGAACAGAGGGCTGGAGCTACAAAACCAGCTGCAGAGAGCAGGTCAGAAGTACAGGCAATAACCGAAGACATGGGGGAAGATGGCTGGCCACTCGAGCGGGACTTCATGTTGTAACACACGCATCCTGCTGCCCATGAAACTGTACCATCCAGACCCATCACCAGCAGCCTGGAGGCGCCATGCGGCCGCAGCCCTCAACTCTGGGGAACATGTCTCCAGTCCCAGGTAAAATCAACACGCACGCCTGAGCACAGAGAACCAAGATGCCTGGCTCCAGTCACCAAGGCAAACCACCTCCCAGTGCAGAGATTTCCCACAGGCGTAAACAGTGGCATCACCAATGGCCAAGGCCCAGGGCCACAGGCTCCCAGGTGAGAGGGCCCCATCCAAAGGGCACCTGTGAACCTAAACGCTCTGGTAAACAACCTTACTCCCCAGAAAGCTGGTCGTGTCCCACCTCTAACACCACAGGCTGTGTCTGTTTCCTCATCCATCTACATGGAGGACCCAAAGATGGAGATGAACCAGCTCCAAATCTTAATTCATCATCATCATCATCAAATCTGGTGCAAGTGGTACACACCTGTAATCCTGGCTACACAAGAGACTGGATCGGAGGATTAAGCCACCAATCTAGCCTGGACAAAAAAGGTGATCAGGGTCTTATCTCCAACTAACCAGATAAAACCTGGAAGTAGTAGTGTGGCTCAAGTGGTAAAGCACCAACTTTGAGCAAAAAAAAGCTAAGCAAAAGACTGGGAAGGTGGCTTAGTGGTAGAGTGCTTGCCTCACATGCATGAAGCCCTGGATTCGACTCCTTAGCGGCACATAAGCAGAAAAAAGCTGAAAGTGGTACTGTGGCTCAAGTGACAGAGCACTAGCCTTGAGCTGAAGAGTTAAGGGACACTGCCCAGGCCCAGAGTTCAAGTCCCACGACTGACCAAAAAAAAAGCTAAGCAAAGAGCATGAGGCACCAAAAAGAAAAAGCCAATCAAGGGCTGGGAAGGTGGCTCAGTGGCAGAGCGCTTGCCTTGCATGCCTGAGGCCCTGGGTTCGATTCCTCAGCACCACATAAGCAAAAAGATAAAAGCCGGCAGTGGCGCTATGGCTCAAGTGGTAGAGCAACTAGCCTTGAGCTGAAGAGCTGAGGGACAGCGCCCAGGCCCAGAGTTCAGGCCCACAACCAGACCAAAAAAAAAAAAAAAAAAAAGAAAAAGCCCATCAAGGTAGGTAGATAGTTGTTGTTTTTTTTGGCAAGTCATGTGGCTTGAATTTCGGGCCTGAGCACTGCCCATAAGCTTCTTTTGCTCAAGGCTAGCACTCTACAACTTGAGCCACAGTGCCATTTCTGGCTTTTTCTGCTTATGTGGTACTGAGGAATTGAACCCAGGGCTTCACGTATGCTAGGCAAGCACTCTACCACTAAGCCACTTTCCCAGCCTAAGCTATGATTTTAAAGGACAGTCTAGCTAGCCTTGTCTTTTTACACAAAAATAAATGTGTCAAAAACAAGAGATTCAACATGCAAAGCTCAACAATTTTGAAAAGGGAAGTTCACTGCTCTAGGACCCAGCCTGCCTAGGACAAGATCCATCTACCAAACAGTAATTTAGAAATACATCCACTGGTACTTCTGGCCTATTCTGGTTTGAAATAGAAACCAAATGCAAAAAAAAAAAAAAAAAAAAAAGATCCATGTTAAACGGGAGAATAATGAGACACAGATCCAACATACAGCCATTAGCAACGTGAGTCAGTACTTTGTGCAAAGCAAGAGGGGGAGGGGGGAACTTCAAAGTACAATAAAATAACCCTTCAGGAAAAAAAAGAGACCTGAAATTCAAATGGAGGTGGAAGAGGAGGCCACACAGCAAAGACAACAGAAATCCCTGAGCCAAGCCTCAGGCAAGCAGACCTTGCAGGAACCAGTTCCACCCTGCCATTCCTGAAATTCCACTCTCCCCAGCTTTGCAGGCTCTTCCCTCCCAGGCTTTCTCTTTACCCACCTAGGCCTGATGGAGGGGAGGACCCAAGGGCAGGCCCCACAGGGGCCCAAGCAGCCGGCTTAAGGGATGAAGCTGTGGGAGGGGTAAATTACCTCCTGCAAACTGCCAGTGCCAGCCACAGACAGACCAGAGCCAGACCGGACCCAGTGAGGTCAGATGGGAAGGACTGGCCTCGTTGAGGAAGGGAGGCAGAGAAAGAATGATTTGACCCTGCCAAGGCATCTCAAGTCCCACAGCAGGGAAGCCTGGAGGGAGCCACTGAACTTTTTTTTGAAAGAACACCACCAAGAGGCTTGTGAGAATGTCCAAATGAACGGATGGATCCTCCAGATGGCAGAGGCTCTGTGAGCCCACCCAAGCAGAGGATCTCCAGGACTGTTAACCAGCAAGTGCTCAGGCTTGTCCAAGAGGCCTGAGACCTGGATCAGCGCCCCCAGCTTATCAGTCCAGGTTCTACCCTGCTTCTTTAGTATTTGGCCCTGCTCCCTTTGGGCTGTTTCCAGGCAGTGGGATGATAATCAGGGTATCAAAACATTAACACAGAATTCTGACCAGGGAGATCGGAGTTCCACAAACTAGGACAAATGGGTCAGAAGAGAAAGGAACCCAGAACTACAAGAAGACAACAAAGCAACAGACATTCGTTTACATTGTAAACATGCAAAGCATCTTACACGAGGGAGGCTCCCAAGAGATCCCTCTTACCCATGGCTGCCATAGTGATTCCCATTTGAGTATGTGTGTGTGTGCACGCGCGTGCGTGAACGTGCAAGCACACATTCTTACTAGGGGCTTGAACTCAAGAGCTTGGGAACTACCCTTCAGCTTTCCTGCTCAAGGCTGGCAGTGCTCTACCACTTGAGCCACAGCTCCACTTCTGGATTTTTGGTGGATAATGGTGGATAATCTCATGGAGGGCTGGGAAGGTGGTTCAGTAGTAGAGTGCTTGCCTTGCATGCATGAGGCCCTGGGTTCAATTCCTCAGCACCACATAGCAGAAAAAGCTGGAAGTGGTGCTATGGCTCAAGTGGTAGAGTGCTAGCCTTGAGCTGAAGAGCTGAGGGACAGGACCCAGACCCAGAATTCAGGCCCCACAACCGACAAAAAAAAAAGTCTCATGGACTTTCCCTGCTTTGAACCATGATCCTCAAATCTCAGCCTTCTCAGTAGGTAGGATTACAGATGAGAGCCAGCATGATTGCCTTTTATAAATTGGGGGACCTTTGCAAGAAGTAACCCAGAGTACAGATGGCTGGCTCCATGAGCCACTTCTGCCAGCACCAGCCCGTACTCCCTAAATAATCATTTGGGGGTCCCAAAGAGGCTCCCTGGATCCTGGTTCAGACCATTCCACCCCGACTGACAGAAACCAAGCTGTAGGCTGCAAGCACCCGGCCAGGACCTATTAGATCAACAAGGGCTTGGAGACACTGACTAGAGGGAGGGCCCAACAGTCTTGTTACCTGGAACTCCTTCTCCCTATGGGTGCCTCAAGCAAGCACCTGTGGCACGATGGAGCATGGCTCTCTTCTAAGATGGCACAAGCTGCCAAGCCTGCATCCTGAGACTCAATAGCAATTACAAAACAACCGCAAGAGTAGCAACTACAGAGCACCAACGGCATGCCTGGCTCACTCGCGCGCGCTCTCCCGGCTAGGCCCCGTTCCAACTTCTCAATTCTACTCGGAGGAGGCTGCAATGCCTGTCTTTAATAAGACACAAGACAGACCCAGAGTATGCTGGATTGAGAGGTGAGAGGAGCAAGCAGAGCCAGGCCCTCCAGTGCCACCGGGGCACAGAGGAGAAACCCTGCCCAGACTTCAGACTAAGGGCTCCCCAGATAAACCCGAAGTGGATGTTCATCAAAAACCCACACTGAACCTTCAAGAAATAAGGGGGGGGGGGGAATCACACAGGGAAAGTCTCACCGTACAAAAGGCTCAGGAAGGCTTCGCCCAGGCAGCCATTGAGCAGAGGACGCCCTGCGCCGAGCCGCGGCGCCCCTGCCGCCGCCTCCAAGCTCCATGGCCTCGGGGGAGAGGGTAAAATCGCCTATTCTGCCTAAAGCTGGGCCTGACGTCCCTCCGTGTTTAGGAGGGGAAGAAACGGGGGGAGCGCGAGCAAGCTTCCCGTCTCCTTGGGACAAACCACGAGAAGCCCACCACCATTCCAACAGGGCTGTGTTTCTTAGCTGGGGGAGGGAGAGGGAGAAAGGAAGAGGAGAGGGGGAGGGGGCATCTGGCAGCCTGAGCAGCGACATCCTGTTTATGATTAAACATCTTCGGCGGAGGATTAAGGGTTCGGAAAACGAGCCCCCCGTTCCCGCATTCCCAACCCGCCCCCGGCCGAGGCGGTGCGGGCCTCCGGCCGCGGGCCTCCCCCGCGGGGCGGCCTCGGGGCCTGCGCGGCGCCCCCCCTCCGCCCACTCGGGGTCCCCGCCCCGGAAAGTGGGCGCGGTGGGGGGGGTGGGGGGCGCGCGGGGGTCCCTCGGCCCGCGGCTCGCGCCCCTCCCGGCCCCGGGGCCGCCGCCGCCCGCCGCGCGCGCCCAGGCCGCGCCGCCGCCGCCGCCGCCGCCGCCGCCACAACAATGGCGAGCCCGGCCCGGCCCGGCCGCCGCGCCCGCGGACAAAGGTCGGGGCGGCCGCGGAGACAAAGCCCCGCCGCCCCGCGCCCGGCCCCGCGCCCCGCGCCCCGCGCCCGGCCCCGGCCCACCTGGTCTGCTTCCGCGCGCGCCTCGGGGCCGGGCGATGGCGGTCGGGCGGCGGCCGGGACGCGGGGGCGGCGGATGGCGGCGGATGGCGCGGGGCGCGGCGCTCGCGGCCTCCTCCTCCTCCTCCTCCTCCTCCTCCTCCTCCTCCCGCTCGCTCGCCTCGCTCCCCTCGCTCTCCTCGCCCGCTCGCTCGCTCGCTCTCAGGAGCCGCCGCGCCGTGTCTCGTCGCCGCCGCCGCCGCCGCCTCCGCCCGCGCGGCTCCCCGCCCCCCGCCGCCTCCGCGCCGCCCCCGCCCGCGCCCGCGCAGCGCCGCCCCGCGCAGCGCCCCCTGCCGCGCCGGCCCGCGGGGGTCCCGGGCCGGGAGGGGCCCGGAAGGGGGGGAGGGGCGGGGAGGGCGCGGACCCCTCCCCGCGCGCGCGCGCGCACCCGGCGGCGGCGGCGGCGGCGGCGGCCTGCGCGGAGCCCGCGGCGGCGGCGGCGGCGGCGTCGGCGGCGGCGGGGAGGGGAAGGAAGCCGCGGAGATACATTGTTCTGAGGCGCCGCAAGGTTGTCGCCCGACGGGGACGCGGCACCCAGGGTCCGAGACCCGGGCCGCAGCCCCCCCGGGGCGGGGCGGGTCTGCCGCGTGTTGGCGGGAAAACAAAAGCTCTGCAGGGCGCGGGGGGGGGGGGGGGGGGGATCGGTGGGGAGGGGGGGGGTCTTGCTGTAGTCTAGATACCGGGCAATTAGAAAACAATTCCAGACACAAAGACAACATTTAAACCCAGAAGCGGCAGGGCCCCGGGAAGCCCCGCACCCGCCGCCCGCCCCGCGTTGCCCGGGCCCCGGCTCGGCGCGCTGGTCAGGGGTGGGTGGCTCCGTGGGAGAGCGCTTGCCCAGCATGCTTACAGCCCTGGGTTCGATTCCTCAGCACCACATACACAGAAAACGCTGGAAATAAGGCTGTGGTTCAAGTGGTGTGGAGTGCTACCCTTGAGCAAAACAAGCTCAGGGACAGCACCCAGGACCAGAGTTCAAGCCCCAGGACTGGCCAAAAAAGCAAAAAAGGATCTGAGAGGACTGATGATGGCCTAAGCCCCGGGTGGAACAGCACAGCCCTCAGCCCACCCACCCACCCCACCCCCCCAGGCCCCGAGTGCTGAGAGTCTTGGCTAATTTATAAACCAGCTTTACACTTCCTAATCTTCCTACAATTTGTCCATTGTTATCCTCTCTTTAACTAACTTGGTTGGGCGCCAGTGGAGGCTGAGATCTGAGGACTGTGGTTCAAGGTCTGTGAGACTCATCTCCAACCCAGCACCAAAAAAGCCACAAGTGGACCTGTGACTCTCAAGTGGTAGGGCACTAGCCTTGTGTAAAAAAAGTTCAGGGACAGCCCTGGGCCCTGAGTTCAAGAAAAACAAATTAAATCTTAAAGATGTCCATCTCACCTTCCCCAGTCTTAAGACTGCCTGAGGCTGGTGGCTCACACCTGTAATCCTAGCTGCTCAGGAGGCTGAGATCTGAGGATCACAGTTCAAAGCCAGCCCAGGCAGGAAAGTCCTTGAAACTCTTATCTCCAATGAACTGAAAGTGGCACTGTGACTCAAGTGGTTGAGCACTAGCCTTGAGCTGAAGAGCTGAGGGACAGCGCCCAGGCCCAGAGTTCAAGCCCCACGATGGGCAAAAAAAAAAAAAAGACACAGCAACTGATTCAAGTGACAGAATGAACTGGGACCATGTATTTTGTTTTTTGAGCATGTACTATGTGCTAAACACTCCCCATAAATCATTCTTGTAACCTCCCTCATTTAACCCCTCCCCCATACTCATGAGCCTGACAACACAATTTCCCCTAGCAGAGGAAAAAAAAAAAAAGGAGACTTCAAACCAGGCAGAATTATGTAGCACCCCCACTCCCTGCAAACACGTCTGGGTACTTACCTGAGCAAGGCACAAGACTTTGCAGATGTGACTCAATCAAGGATCCTGAGATAGGATCCTAATGTGTGTGTGTGTGTGTGTGTGTGTGTGTGAGAGAGAGAGAGAGAGAGAGACAGACAGACAGACAGAGAGAGAGTGAGTCCTGGAGCTTGAACTCAGGGACAAGACCCTTCTTTGCTGGAACCTAGTGCTTTACCACTTGAACCACAACTCCACTTCCAGCTCTTTGATAGTTTATTGGAAATAAGAGTCTCAGAGACTTTCCTGCCTCTGGCTTCAAATCTTCAAATCCTAAATCACTAGGATTACAGATGTGAGTTATTTGTGCTGGCCAGATCCTAGATTATAACTACTGGGGTCCCTCTGGGCGGATTCCAGAGGTCCCAAACAGCACAAGTGGCCAAAGTAGTAGCAGTCATCTGGTGTGAAAATGGACTAGTGAGGCCTGATCTTGAGTTGGAGGAAGGCAGGAAGCTTCTAGAAGCTGGGACTGGCCAGGGAGATTCTGCTTTACAGCCTCTGGGAGGAATATAGACCTGCTGACCTGCCTCAGGCTTCTGATGTCCAGATCTGGGATGTTTTGCTACACCACTAAACACCTGGTAGTTTGTGAAGCAAGTCTTTAGTCAGCTGAAGGCAGGTCAGTGAGGGGAGATGAATGTCGGGTAGGAGGTCCAAGACAAGGACAAATCCATCTCAGCCATTTCCAGCAGCACAGGCCCACACCAGGGTACCAGTAGGTAGCCAGATGCTGTAAGAGGTGGCTCAGTGCCAGATGCCAGTGGCTCACACCTGTCAAACTAGCTCCTCAGGAGGCTGAGGTCTGAGGATCACGGTTCAAAGCCAGCCCAGGAAGGAAAGCCCATGAGACTCATCTCCAATAAAACATGCAGAAAACTGGAAGTGGCACCACGTGGGGTGTCCTGGGGTTTCCAGCAATGAAAACTGAGGCCCTGCCTGCAATCCTGGTGCTGAGGCAGCTGAGGTTGGAGGATCTCAGTTCAAAGCCAGCCCTGGCAGGAAAGGCAGGGAGATTCTTACCTTCAATTAAAAGCTGAAAGTGGGGGGCTGGGAAGGTGGCTCAGTGGTAGAGCACTTGCCTTGCATGCCTGAGGCCCTGAGTTTGATTCCTCAGCTACCACATAAGCAAAAAGAAAAAAAAAAAAAAAAGCAATAAGTGGCGCTGTGGCTCAAGTGGTAGAGGGCTAGCCTTGAGCTGAAGAGCTGAGGGAAAGCACCCAGGCCCAGAGTTCAAGTCTCATGACTGGACTCCCCCCCCCCAAAAAAAAAAAAAAAAGCTGAAAGTGGAGCTGTGGCTCAAGTGATAGAATTCTAGCCTTAAGTAAAAAAGCTAAAGAGACAGTGTCCAGACCCTGGATTCAAACCCCAGTACTCTCTCTCCTTCTCTCCCTCTATCTCTCTCTCCCCCTCTCCCTCCCTCCCTCTCCCCTCCTTCCTCTTCCCCCTCCTACTCCTCCCTCTTCTGCCCTTTGTCCCTTTCTCCCTCCCTTTTTCTCCCTCCCCTCCTTCCCCCCCCTCCACTGAGCATAGAGGCTTACCCCTGTAATCTCAGCTGACTGACTGGGAAGCAGAAACTGGGAAGATACTTGTACCAGGCAAGCCCAGGCAAAGAGTTAATGAGACTCCATCTCAGCAAATAAAAAACTGGGTGCAGTGGTGTGTGCCTGTCACCCCAGCAACATGGAAAGCAGGAGTAGGGGAATTCTGGTCCAAGCCAGCCTGAGTATAAATGTGAGGACCTGGGGCAGGAGTTGGCTCAATGGTAGAGTGCTTGCCTTGCATGCATGAGGCCCTGGGTTTGATTCCTCAGCACCACATAAGCAGAAAAAGCCGGAAGTGACGTGTATGGCTCAAGTGGTAGAGCGCTAGCCTTGAGCTGAAGAGCTGAGGGGCAGCGCCCAGGCCCAGAGTTTAGGCCCCACGACCGACAAAAAAATAAAATAAAATGTGAGGACCTATTTGAAAAAATAACATATACTGCCCAGGCACCAATGGCTCACACCTGTAATCCTGGCTACTTAGGAGGCTGAGATCTGAGGATCACAGTTCAAAGCCGGCCTAGGCAGGAAGGTTTTTTTATTTTGTTTTTTGTTGGTTGTGGGGCTTGAACTCTGGGCCTGGACACTGTCCCTCAGCTTTTCAGCTCAAGGCTAATGCTCTACCCCTTGAGCCACAGCGCCACTTCCAGCTTTTTCTGCTTATATGGTACTGAGGAATCAAACCCAGGGCCTCATGCATGCAAGGCAAGCACTCTACCACTGAGCCACCTTCCTAGCCCCTCCATGAGACTCTTTGTTGTTGTTGGTCATGGGGCTTGAACTCTGGGCTTGGGCGGTATCCCTGCGCTCTTCAGCTCAAGGCGAATTCTCTACCCTTGAGTCACAGCACCACTTCCGGTTTTCTACTGGTTTATTGGAAACAAGAGTCTCACGGAGTTTCCTGCCCAGGCTGGCTTTGAACCATGATCCTCAGATCTCAGCCTCCTGAGTAGCTAGGGTTACAGGCGTGAGCCACCAGCACCAGGCTCCATGAGACTCTTATCTCCAATAAACCACCAGAAAACCTGAAGTGGTGCTGTGGCTCAAGTGGTAGAGCACTCACCTTGAGCTGAAAAGCTGAGGGACAGCGCCCAGGCCCAGAGTTCAAGCCCCACAACCAACAAAAAAAAAAAAAAGGACTGGCTGCATGACTAAAGTGGTAAAGTTTTTGCCTAGCAACTGTGAGGCCCTGAGTTCAAACCCCAGTACTCCAGTACTATCCCTCCCTCTCAAAAAAGGACATCTAAGCTGGGCGCCGATGGCTCACACCTATAATCCTAGCTAGTCAGGAGGCTGAGATCTGAGGATCACAGTTCAAAGCCAGCCCAGGCAGCAATGTCTGTGAGACTCTTATCTCCAAGAAACCACCAGAAAACCGGAAGTGGCGCTGTGGTTCTAGTGGTAGAACTCTCACTTTGAGCTGAAGAGCTCAGGGACAGGACCCAGGCCCAGAGTTCAAGCCCCATGAATGACCCCCCCAAAAAAAATCTATTATGATTCTATGTGAAATATCCAAAATACACAAATCCATAGAGACAGAAAGTAGATTAGTGGCTGCTGGAGCCAGGGCTGGGGATAGAGTG